GCAAACACCTGTCTGTATGTATGTTACCGGTAAACGGCAGAAAAGAACATGGTGAATTCACGTGTATTGCAAATGATGGTAGAAGTGTAGTCGACTACACAATGGTATCCCTGGATTTGTATGGCAATGTGATATCCTTCACAATACCAGTCAGAAGTGAGTCTGACCATTTTCCACTTTGTTATAAACTTAGAATTTCTGGTGTACTTAATTCAGACGAAAATTCGATTGGAAATAATTCCATTGTGAAATTTCGTTGGAACAACGAACTATTGCAAATTTTTAAAACACGTGTTCTGGAGAAAACTGCTGAAATTAATTTATTGACTAATCAACTGGGGGCTCATAATTTAAACGAAACAGTTACCCAATTTACAGATATTTTAAAAGAATCGGGAGAAATTATGCAAGTACAGATCCCTAACAAAAGATTATCTTCACACAGACAAAATAAACAACCATGGTATGATGACGAATGTCGCATGGCAAAATTATATAAACTTTCCCGTTTACGTCGATATCGTGATACTGGTCGTGAGATTGATTTAAATAACTACAGAAGTGCTCGTAATTCATTTCGCTCACTGGTGAGAAAAAAGAAACATACATATAACAAAAAATTGCAGGATACAATTAGAGAAAACATAACAAGTGAAAAATGTATCTGGGAAACTATTAGAAAGAATAAGAGTAAAAATCAAACATCTATAATCCCATTACAAGATTGGGTCATGTACTTTGAAAAACTGTATAACCAGGATTCATGTAACAATAACATAGATTGAGAGCATCTTACTGAAGTTAAAAACTTTCTGTATAGTTTTGATCCGCATTCTACAGAATTTGGTGAAACTGACACAACATTGAATGTGTCAATAACGAATGAAGAAATTATTCAGTCAATACATAAACTTAGAAATGGCAAATCTGCAGGTCCTGACCTTTTAATCGCTGAATTTTTTAAATTTTCATGTGATGTGTCGATAACATTTTTGAATGCCCTTTTTAACTTAATTTTTAATACTGGTATTTTTCCAGAAGGTTGGTCAAAACGTATTATTATTCCTATCCACAAGAAAAACAGTCGAAATGATCCCGGTAACTATAGAGCTATATCACTCATGAGTATATTTGGAAAAATCTTCACCAGTATCATTGAAGCACGACTATCAAAATGGGCAAGGGTTTTTGATATAATCCCAGAGACACAGGCTGGATTTAGGGAGGGCTATTCAACTATTGATCAAATATTTACATTATATGCCATAATTCAGAAACAGTTAGACAGGAAAGGGGGGGGGGGGAATTGTATTGCCTCTATATAGATTTCCAGAAGGCATTCGACTTGGTTAACAGGGATTTGTTATTGTTTAGACTGGCCAATAATGGTATCAACGGAAAAATGTATGTAATTTTACAAAGTATTTATAAAGACGTCAAATCATGTGTTCGTGAAGGAGGAGTCACTTCGAGATTCTTTGAATTGAAGAATGGGGTTCGACAAGGGTGCATGATCAGCCCCATTTTATTCTCATTTTACATTAATGAGCTACAAAGCATGTTGGATGACTCTGGGTATATAGGAATACAATTGATCCCGAACGACATGTTAGTTGTTTTCATTATTGTATGCTGACAACATTGCTTTATTTTCTGTTTTGGGCTTGAAAAGACTAATAAGTATATTGTATGAGTTTACAAACAAGTGGGATCTAAATATCAACTTAAATAAAACTAAAATTGTAGTATACAGAAATGGGGGATATCTCAGTAAATATGAAAAGTGGTACTTCGGGAACAAGCAACTTAGCACTGTTAGTTCATATGAATACTTGGGATTGGTAATGTCATGTAAATGCTCTTTTAATATTACCACAGAAAATTTAGCTATAAAAGGCAAAAAGAAATTGATTGCAATCAAAAGATACTTAGGAAATATGCAATATTTTAAATCAGACTTGTATTTTAAGATTGTTGACACCTTAATTCAACCTGTACTTACATATGGGTCTGAAATTTGGGGATATGATCAATATCAACATTTAGAAAGTGTACATACATCTTATTGTAGGCAATACCTCGGTGTAGGTAAAAATGCTCCAACTTGTACAGGATTAGGGGATTGTGGGAGGCTACCCTTATTTTGTTACCATGTTAAAAGATGTGTGAAATATTGGTGAAAAATTACTAGCATGCATGAAAACAGATTACCCCAGAAAGCTTACCGGATGCTACTTTCACTGGATGAAAAAGGACAAAGGTCATGGGCCACAGAAATTAAAGAATTGCTATTTAAATATGGATTTGGTTATGTCTGGTTTAATCAAGGGGTGGGGGACTCTGATATGTTCTTGTATAAAGTTTGTGAAAGGGTCAAAGATACTGGAATTACAGATTGGTATATAGACGTTTGTTCTGGCGAAAAAACGCAGTATTATAGGCAATACAAAACAAATTTTGGGATTGAAAACTATGTGTCATTGCCACAATTAAAATTGCGCAGAGCAATAGCAAGATTAAGATGTGCGTGCCACCCCTTAGAAATAGAAAGAGGCAGACATAATAATATCCCTAGGGAGAGCCGTATTTGTCATTTGTGCCTGAAAGAAATTGATGATGAATATCATTTTTTACTAAAATGCACTGCATGGGACACAATCAGGAAAAAGTATCTTCCAAATGAGACACAACCCCCAAATTTGAATACTCTAGTACAACTATTAAGTTCCTCTAAAAGCCAAATCATTAACTCTTTGGCTCTATTTATAAGTGTTTTTTAATCAAAGATCAAATGAGAATAACCTAATAAGCTTGTATGTATATATATATTAATATCCCCATCACATTATTATATAGGGCTTTATATTATCTATTGACACACTCTTCATCTATATTTTCATACATATTTTGTAATGTAAATTTATTTCTTGTCAATAATTAATTTGCATGATTGTAATGGGCCGGAGGCCATTATACAATTAATAAAAAATTATTACAATTATTACATAAAGAAACCACTGCATAGCACACCAAAGCGATTACAGAGAATGTTACTAAGATTGCAACAATATGACATTAACTTAGTATATCACCCAGGGAAGAAAATGTATCTGGCTGACACACTGAGCCGAGCATATTTGACAGATCAGCCACCAAAAAATCCGCAAGTGGAAATAGAGTCAGTCAACATGGTACAGAGTCTGCCCCTCTCACAGCCAAGATGTCAGGACATCAAGACACACACAGAAAGCGATCAGAGCCTACAGCTCTTGAAAAGTATGATTCAAAATGGGTTTCCAGAAACCAAGGCTGAGATGCCAGTAGCACTAACAACATATTTCCAGGTTCGACATGAACTCAGTGTCCAAGATAGCATAATATTCAGAGGAGAGCGAGCTATAATCCCTAAGTCACTTAGACATGACATGCTTAAACGTGTCCACTCATCACATCTTGGAACAGAGGGATGTCTCCGAAGAGCAAGAGAATGCTTATATTGGCCTGGAATGAATGCAGAAATCAAAGACTACATTGACAAATGTGACGTGTGTCATACGTTTGGAACGCGGCAACAAAAGGAGACTTTGATAACACATGAGGTCCCAGTCAGACCATGGGCCAAAGTTGGAATTGACCAATTCGTATTTGATGGAAATGACTACCTGGTCACAGTAGATTATTTCTCCAACTTTTGGGAAGTAGACTACCTACCCAACACAGAGACAAAGACCATCATCAGAAAGCTCAAAGCTCACTTTGCCCGTCATGGAATACCAGACATTTGTATTTCAGACAACGGACCACAGGAAGGATCAGAGGAATTTGAGAAATTTAGCAAGACTTGGAACTTTAAACACATTACATCATCCCCAAGGTATCCACAAAGTAATGGGAAAGTAGAAAATGCTGTGAAATCAGCAAAAAGCATAATGAGAAAATCCAAACTAGCAGGAACAGACCTATACCTCGGAATACTTGACTTCAGAAACACACCAACTCAAGGCATGACTACAAGCCCAGCACAACGACTGATGAATAGGCGAACCAAAACATTATTACCCATCACTGACAAACTCCTCAATCCAGCAATTAACCAGAGAGTGAGTCAGGAAATAAAGAAGAATAAGGATAGACAAGCATATTACTACAACAAGGATGCCAAAGACCTACCAACACTTAACCAAGGAGATACTGTGAGAATGATGCCTTACAACAAATCAGATAAAGTATGGAAAAAAGCACAAGTAGATCGCCAGGTCAACATAAGATCATTTGAAGTGACAACAGAAGAAGGCAGAACATATCGCAGAAAATGCAGACACCTGCGGAAGACATCAGAAACATACCATCCAAACACAAGTGATGTCTACTCAGAAATTTCCCGACCACCACAAGTGAGAGAAAATCAACAGAAACATGCGGAATTACCAGTGAATAATGACCAATCAGAGATTAAGACACGATCAGGTAGAATTGTTAGAAAACCTGCATATCTGAAGACTATATCGAAAATTAAGTACACTAGTTTTGAGATTCAGTAGACACTAGTTTTGAGATTCAGT